CACGTTTCCTCCAATCAGAGATGGTCTCTGATTAAATCTGTGACAGCTGCAGGGCTCGACCTGCACGCTGATTCAGACTTCAACAGGGTTTCCTAAGAACAGAAATGAAACAGAAATGTTTCAGGAAATAATTAAATGATGATGAGGTCATGTGACTGAAGCAGCTCACCTGAGGTCATGTGACTGAAGCAGCTCACCTGAGGACATGTGACTGAAGCAGATCCAGCTGTTTCCTGATGTGAAGGACATGTTACTGGACTGAAGCTTTGTTTTGATCAGGTTTTACAAATCTGAATCTTTGTTATGAAGAATAAAGTTTCTGTTAATGAACTTTTTATTTATTAAACATCTGAATATCAAACAGCTGTAATGATTTAGTATGACTTCTTTTTGAGGCTGTAAATGGAGCCAGTTTGAGTAAAATATTAAACTGTCATATATATTCTCCAATGACTGTGACTGCAGAACAAACTCGGGTTTGTGATAAAAGTAATTTTGTGTATTTCCTGCAGAAAACGTTAGAATCTGAACGTTTCAGAGAATCACCTGAAAGGTGTCAGATAAATACAGTAAGATTAGAAAGAGACAGGAAGTTTAAAAATATCATCACAGGACAGAAGTCTGCGGCTGCAGGTAAACTGAATACCTGCCCCTCCCCCAAAACCTCCTGGGCCTTTTTCCGCATGGTGTGATCAGCTGATTGGACACAAATAACAGTTTCACAAGAAGAAACATTCACAGTAATGACATCATCTGTAATTAGTCATGAGGGTACCTGGAAGTAGGCGGAGCCTCGAGCTGCAGGTAACTGGTGATGAATCAGAGAAGAACAAGTAGGAAAAGGTAAGATGTGTTCTGATTGGCTGATTGTTTTCCCATTATTTTTAAACAATAGAGGTTTTTTTTCTATACGACTCTGAACTTTGATGTGAAATTATTCTGAAGGGAACAAATGTAGACTTTTTTAAAATGACCAAAACAGAAGACTTTAATTACGGAGCCCTCACCCGCAATTTCCAAATGGTCCGTGTGTGCCTTGTTCAGTGAGCTACAAGATCACAGAGGAACTACAAGATCACAGAGGAACTACAAGATCACAGGAGAAATACAAGATCACAAGTGAACTACAAGATCACAAGTGAACTACAAGATCACAGGAGAACTACAAGATCACAGAAGAACTACAAGATCACAGGAGAACTACAAGATCACAAGAGAACTACAAGATCACAGGAGAACTACAAGATCACAAGAGAACTACAAGATCACAAGAGAACTACAAGATCACATGATAACTACAAGATTACAGAAGAACTACAAGATCACAGGAGAACTACAAGATCACAAGAGAACTACAAGATCACAGGAGAACTACAAGATCACAGGAGAACTACAAGATCACAAGAGAACTACAAGATCACAAGAGTACTACAAGATCACAGGAGAACTACAAGATCACAGGAGAACTACAAGATCACAAGAGAACTACAAGATCACAGGAGAACTACAAGATCACAGGAGAACTACAAGATCACAGGAGAACTACAAGATCACAGGAGAACTACAAGATCACAAGAGAACTACAAGATCACAGGAGAACTACAAGATCACAGGAGAACTACAAGATCACAAGAGAACTACAAGATCACAAGAGTACTACAAGATCACAGGAGAACTACAAGATCACAGGAGAACTACAAGATCACAAGAGAACTACAAGATCACAGGAGAATTACAAGATCACAGGAGAACTACAAGATCACAGGAGAACTACAAGATCACAGGAGAACTACAAGATCACAAGAGTACTACAAGATCACAAGAGAACTACAAGATCACATGATAACTACAAGATTACAGAAGAACTACAAGATCACAGGAGAACTACAAGATCACAGGAGAACTACAAGATCACAAGAGAACTACAAGATCACAGGAGAATTACAAGATCACACGAGAACTACAAGATCACAGGAGAACTACAAGATCACAAGAGTACTACAAGATCACAGGAGAACTACAAGATCACAGGAGAACTACAAGATCACAAGAGAACTACAAGATCACACGATAACTACAAGATTACAGAAGAATTACAAGATCACAGGAGAACTACAAGATCACAGGAGAACTACAAGATCACAAGAGAACTACAAGATCACAAGAGAACTACAAGATCACAGGATAACTACAAGATCAAAGGAGAACTACAAGATTACAGAAGAATTACAAGATCACACGAGAACTACAAGATCACAAGAGAACTACAAGATCACAGGAGAACTACAAGATCACAGGAGAACTACAAGATCACAAGAGAACTACAAGTTCACATGATAACTACAAGATTACAGAAGAATTACAAGATCACACGAGAACTACAAGATCACACGAGAACTACAAGATCAAAGGAGAACTACAAGATCACAGAAGAACTACGAGATCACAAGAGAACTACAAAATCACAAGAGAACTACAAGATCACAGAGAACTACAAGATCACAGAGAACTACAAGATCAAAGGAGAACTACAAGATCACAAGAGAACTACAAGATCACAAGAGAACTACAAGATCACAAGAGAACTACAAGATCACAGAGAACTACAAGATCAAAGGAGAACTACAAGATCACAGAGAACTACAAGATCAAAGGAGAACTACAAGATCACAAGAGAACTACAAGATCACAAGAGTACTACAAGATCACAAGAGTACTACAAGATCACAAGAGAACTACAAGATCACAGGAGAACTACAAGATCACAAGAGAACTACAAGATCAAAGGAGAACTACAAGATCACGGAGAGAACTACAAGATCACAGGAGAACTACAAGATCACAGAGAACTACAAGATCACAAGTGAACTACAAGATCACAGTGAACTACAAGATCACAGGAGAACTACAAGATCACAGAAGAACTACAAGATCACAGGAGAACTACAAGATCACAAGAGAACTACAAGATCACAAGAGAACTACAAGATCACATGATAACTACAAGATTACAGAAGAACTACAAGATCACAGGAGAACTACAAGATCACAAGAGAACTACAAGATCACAGGAGAACTACAAGATCACAGGAGAACTACAAGATCACAAGAGAACTACAAGATTACAGGAGAATTACAAGATCACAGGAGAACTACAAGATCACAAGAGAACTACAAGATCACATGATAACTACAAGATTACAGAAGAACTACAAGATCACAGGAGAACTACAAGATCACAAGAGAACTACAAGATCACAGGAGAACTACAAGATCACAGGAGAACTACAAGATCACAAGAGAACTACAAGATCACAAGAGTACTACAAGATCACAAGAGAACTACAAGATCACATGATAACTACAAGATTACAGAAGAACTACAAGATCACAGGAGAACTACAAGATCACAGTGAACTACAAATCACGGAGAACTACAAGATCACAGAGAACTACAAGATCACAGGAGAACTACAAGATCACAAGAGAACTACAAGATCACATAACTACAAGATTACAGAAGAACTACAAGATCACAGGAGAACTACAAGATCACAAGTGAACTACAAGATCACAGGAGAACTACAAGATCACAGGAGAACTACAAGATCACAGGAGAACTACAAGATCACAAGAGAACTACAAGATCACATGATAACTACAAGATTACAGAAGAATTACAAGATCACAGGAGAACTACAAGATCACAAGAGAACTACAAGATCACATGATAACTACAAGATTACAGAAGAATACAAGATCACAGGAGAACTACAAGATCACAAGAGAACTACAAGATCACATGATAATCACAGGAGAACACAGGAGAACTACAAGATCACAGGAGAACTACAAGATAACAAGAGAACTACAAAATCACAAGAGAACTACAAGATCACAGAGAACTACAAGATCACACGAGAACTACAAGATGACAGAGAACTACAAGATCAAAGGAGAACTACAAGATCACAAGAGAACTACAAGATCAAAAGAAACTACAAGATCACAAGAGAACTACAAGATCACAAGAGAACTACAAGATCACAAGAGAACTACAAGATCACAGAGAACTACAAGATCAAAGGAGAACTACAAGATCACAGAGAACTACAAGATCAAAGGAGAACTACAAGATCACAAGAGAACTACAAGATCACAAGAGAACTACAAGATCACAAGAGAACTACAAGATCACAGGAGAACTACAAGATCACAAGAGAACTACAAGATCAAAGGAGAACTACAAGATCACAAGAGAACTACAAGATCACAGGAGAACTACAAGATCACAGAAGAACTACAAGATCACAAGAGAACTACAAGATCACAGGAGAACTACAAGATCACAGGAGAACTACAAGATCACAGGAGAACTACAAGATCACAAGTAAACTACAAGATCACAGGAGAACTACAAGATCACAGGAGAACTACAAGATCACAAGAGAACTACAAGATCACACGATAACTACAAGATTAACAGAAGAATTACAAGATCACAGGAAACTACAAGATACAGGAGAACTACAAGATCACAAGAGAACTACAAGATCACAAGAGAACTACAAGATCACAGGATACTACAAGATCAAGGAGAACTACAAGATCAGAAGAACTACAAGATCACACGAGAACTACAGATCACAAGAGAACTACAAGATCACAGAGAACTACAAGATCAAAGGAGAACTACAAGATCAAAGGAGAACTACAAGATTACAAGAGAACTACAAGATTACAGAAGAATTACAAGATCACACGAGAACTACAAGATCACAGGAGAACTACAAGATCACAAGTGAACTACAAGATCACAGGAGAACTACAAGATCACAGGAGAACTACAAGATCACAGGAGAACTACAAGATCACAAGAGTACTACAAGATCACAGGAGAACTACAAGATCACAGGAGAACTACAAGATCACAAGAGAACTACAAGATCACATGATAACTACAAGATTACAGAAGAATTACAAGATCACAGGAGAACTAC